TTTGTAGTTTTTAATCTTTTGCAACGACGTGATGCTTGTTTTCATGCTCAACTGATAGCCACGAAACCTTACTTTCAAGCATCTGCTCAGGAAATTCAGTCATTAAACAGTAACGATATTGAAATGGCTCTCAACAAAAGTGCAAAAAATACGTTTAACTCGACAACCAATGGATCATTACATAAACTACTCAATCATATTAAAACCATCGGTGGTCGAGTTATGGGTTCAACGTATTCAAGAACAGCTTTGCGCACCCGTATTCATGCACTAATCTATAATCAAGGTCTACCAAGCATTTTTCTAACTTTGAATCCAGCTGATATTCACAGTCCTGTGGCACTATATTTTGCCGGCGCCAAGCTTGATTTAGACAACATTCAAATCGAGCAACTAATGACTACTTATAAAAGAGCCGAAATTATTGCTTCACATCCTGTGGCTACTGCCAAGTTTTTCCATTTATTGATCACTAACATATTAGATACTATGATAGTTGGTGGTGTTCTTGGACCAATAAAAGCTTACTTTGGTACTGTTGAAAGCCAAGGACGAGGCTCTCTTCATTTACATCTTCTCGCTTGGCTTGATCATGATATGAAGCCATCCGATATGAAAGAGAAGATTCAAGATGCGGATTTTCGTGATAAGTTAAAGGCATATTTAGAAGACATCATCAAAGAAGATTTAGATGAATTCAAAGATAAATATGCCTTTGAATATTCCAACGGTATAGGACGTTTTCGTTTTCTTCGAACATCGAATTCTGTTTTTGTATTATAGTGCCAATATCATTCAATACGCCGACGAGATTATCACGAGACGATATTTATACGGCCTTACGCACTATTGATTTAGAAGGTTCTGCAGAAAATATACATGAAACTCCTTTTCTGTCGACACCAATAAAACAACAACCTTTTCCATCAATTCCTTATGCGTCACCATTAATTTCCTACCTCTCTCCATCGATTCCTTACACTTCTCCATCGATTGCTTATGCTTCTCCATCATTGAATACATCGTTACAGACACCAACACATGATCGATTAGCATCCGGTACAGTATAGTAAATCATTAAAAAAAGACAAAGCATTAATTGATATTTTAGGTATCAATACCTTACATAACAAGTCAAACTTAATTCCAGCTTGTTTACCTACTCCAAATCCATCATCGCCTAATTTTGCAGCACGCTTTTGTGCAGATGTGGTACAACTTGTGGAAACAGGCAACAAGCACAAGCATAGTGACACATGTTACAAGTATTCTAATCCTAAACAAGGTGACAAGAAGAGTTGTCGATTGCGTATGCCACGCAAATTAGTACCAGTTTCGACGATTGATCCGGATACTGGTCACATCTCTATGCGACGATCAGATCCATGGATCAATAATTTTAACGAATATCTTATAGCAGCTTGTCGTTCCAACATGGATATTAAATTTATTTGGAGTGACAGCGATGCAAAGGCCCTTGTTTATTATATTACTGATTATGTGACAAAGATGAGCCTTTCATTTCACGATACATTTTCTTCGATACAAAAAAGCATTGCATCACTTAAGAATTTATGGCATGAGACAGACAAAGAAAGTGCAATCGAGAAGTCGCGTCAGCTTGTTCTACGCTGTTATAATACACTTGCTTCTCAGCAAGAACTATCTGGTGTCCAAGTTGCTTCTCATCTCATGAATTGGGGTGATCATTATACAACGCACAGATTTCAAGGTCTCTTCTTAATTCAAACTGAGAAAGCTTTACGAACTCAATTGAATGAAATGCGTGCGAAACGAAAATTGGAACTTGAAGCGCGCGGTGAGTGTGTTGATCTTTGATTTCATATTTTAAAAGTCGTTTTACCTGGTCAAGCTGGAATAAAAAGCTTTCTGGTGGAACGAAAACGAAGGTAGACCATTAATGATATTGAGTCATTGAAGATATAGAAAGAGTAGATTGTTTGGCCAGAAGCTTATCTCCTAATTGAATGATTGGCTACTTTATTTGTCAAAAACGTTTTGCTGATCTATTTCAGCTTGCTTTCGTACATACGGTTAGCACATAGTTTCTTCTCTAGTAGAACTCAATAATTAGTGAAACTAGAGCGTCGATGAAGTGAAATCATTAACAAGGAAATCCTCTAAGCAGCGAGTTTGCTACATACATGGAAGAGAGAAACAGTTAAAATCCACTGAATTATGATGTAAACTAAGTTAAAACTAATGAATTGTCTTTCATGTATAGACGTGATCGACTACGATGTATTTGATGATGAAGCTATCGATAATGAAAACAATAACGGAGAAGAATTTCAGATTCAATCGACTGAAAACAACAAAACATATGTACTAGTTAATACACGACTTGATTATCAATATCGCTCTGACAATCTCAACAACCTGTGCTTATACAACTTTGTCAGCATATTATATAAGAAAAAAATTAACGCAACGGATCTGAAATATTTAGCCGAGGCTGGAAAATCAATAAAAGAAAAATTTAATCAAAAAGGTCGATCACGTAATGAACGTTATCCTTTCCAAAAACAGCATCCTCAAGCAACAACATATTTAATGATGAAATATAGTCAGCCTCATGTGCCTATTCTTTATGGTCCTCAAATTCCTCGACGAGATCGCGAGGACACTCGAGAACGATACAGTCGAGCTCTTCTCACTCTTTTTGTGCCTTGGCGCACGGTAGCTGATCTTTGTGACATGAATCAGACATGGGAAGATGCATTTAAATCTGGGCAACATCTTATTTCTGTGCATTCGCGGATGGTCATAGAAAATATTCAACTTCTACACGAATGCAAAAAGGATCGCGATGATCATTTACTTCAAGTGATTGCTGAAGCTCAAACTGAAAATGATACAATTGATCCCATAATATTGCCAGTAAATCAAGATGTACACGGCGAATATGATGCAGACGATACCGATGATTTACTTGAATTGTTAGGCAGTTTAGATGAACGTACCACTGCTATCGCTACTGCCTCTGCAAAGTCAACAGAGAATAAATATATTGAAGAAACTATTGAAGCAGTCGAGAAAGTCGGACGATTTACTGATATAAACGGTAGGGATTGTTTTAATATAATAAGTATAATTAAAAGTAATTGCAAAAGTCGAGTTCTAATTTAGCACATGACCAATCTTCTTTCAACGGCATTATCGACCATATCGACCAACCACTGGCACCATTCATTTCTGCAACACCTGTTCTGATTCGACTTAACACGAAATGGCAAGAACAGCTGAAGAGTGAGAAAGAGCGAATAAGAAGAAGTTTGATCACAGGCAACTATGACAATGACTGGGATGGTACGGTGAACTTGGATGCTGCGAAATGTGCCGTTGTAACTGTGGTGAATTCAAACAACTACAATATGAATAAGTTAGAAAAATATGGTTCAATTCTTCCAGTAATCTCAGTGACAACAAACTTTCCTACTCAGAAAAACATAGTTGATGAATTTACATTGAACAGAGAACAACGAGCTGCATTTATGATAATAACAAGTCATCTTGATGGTGACAGTCGATGTCGCACAGGTAATTTTCATAAAACAAGTATTCATATTTCAAAATATACAATATTTTCAGGTGACAATAATGGTCAGCTCATAATGTGCGTACCTGGGTGTGGTGGCACAGGCAAATCACAATTGATTTGTGCTCTCACCAAATACTTTCTTATTACAAAAAGAATGCCGATGATGCGGAAGCTTGCGCCGACTGGAATTGCTGCTGCTGAAATAGATGGCATGACTATTCATTCATTTTTGGGTGAACGACGTAACTCTGGAAAGGCACGCACCATTAAACCAGGTGATTCAAAACTCGAGAAGGAATGGGCCCTGGTTGAATACCTCTTAATTGATGAAATGAGCATGGTTGGTTTAACTCTACTTGCGAAACTCAACCGAATTATATGTGCTGCAAAACATGCTGACCCTCAAGTGCCATTTGGTGGTATAAATGTCATCTTCTTCGGCGATTACTTACAATATCGACCTGTGTATGATGCACCATTGCACACCGATTTCTCATTATCGCCACGAACTAAATCAGGCAAAGCGCCAAGCGAAAATCAAATTCAACAACGTGTTGCACGCTCCCTAATTCTTCAAATAAACTGTGTCGTAAAACTTACGCAACAGATGCGAACACAGGACCTACGGTACCTTCAGCTGCTCGAACGACTTCGTCATGGGCAATGTAACTACGACGACTATGAGTTATTGTTGACACGAGTGGCTGGACAGCCATCGGTAGGCTCTCTATGTGATCCGCCGTGGAATAAAGTAACTTTTCTCTTTCGCTCTGAAACGTTTTTACATCTTCATCTTTTTAGGCTCCGATTCTCGTATTTCGAAATGAAGTACGAACGCAATTGAACCAAAAGGCAGCAATTCATAAAGCAGTGCAATTAGGATACGCACCAATGGTTTGCGTCGCTCAAGACACATGTAAAGGCAAACAAATTGAAGATCAGACACTGATAAAAAAACTTTTAGAATTATCCGATAGTAAAACGGAGCATTTACCAGGTCTATTGCCTCTTATTCCTGGAATGCCTGTTATTTTAACGCAAAATATTGCAATTGAACTGGGTCTTATCAACGGCACGAATGGAATCTTTCGGCAATTTGTCTATCAGGTAGATTCTGTATCAACAAATATTATTTCGGAAGCATTTCCCAACAACACACAATACGTTCATCGACCATTATACGCATTGGTTGAAATTGCCAGATCGAAGGTTAAGTGCAATCTTGATCAACTTCAACCAAAACTCATTCCAATACCAGTTATGGAACAAACATTTCGCATCGATATTGGTGATATCATTCCAAAAAATAAGAAACCAAAATCTAATCGGAAAGCAATGTTGTCAATTAAACGGCGTGCACTGCCACTTGTGCCTGCTTATTGTATTACGACGCATAAGAGTCAAGGTCAAACTTTGAACAAAGTTGTGATTGATTTGAAACTGCCAAATGACACTGATGATATTGCCGCAGTGTATGTACCTTTATCGCGCGTAAAGCATTTGGTTGATTTGGTTATTCTGCGATATTTTGATTACAAGGTTTTACAAATCAAACCAAGCAAATCACAACTCGCTGAAATAGAAAGACTTGATAAACTGTATTTAGAAACCCATGCGCGTTTTTACGAATGGTTTCAGTGATTTTCTGTATGATATGAGCATTATTGATATTAATGTCTGCTTTTTTTTGTTCCATGCGGTTTACTTTTTTTAAGTGTTGATTTAATGTTCTATACATTTAAACATGGCTTTTGTCTTCATTGATGTCTTACATATATTATTGTTTTTTTCTTCCTTATGGTGTGAAATGATATTAGCTAGATATAAATGTCTTTTAGTATTAAACTATCCATTTTCATGTGCGCCTTACTCACAAATTGAGTACATTTGTGTCACGAAATTGTTAATAAAACTATTAATAAAATATCCTTGGTTATACTTCAAACTCATAGTACTCATTGAACCATTCTGTGTGACTATGCAACTGCAACAATGCATAAATTTAATTAAAAACACNCATTATTTAAATAAACTAATTATTCTCATTTACTATGGCTCACCGCCTATACAAGTTATCTTAAGCTGTTTATTGAAACATTCAGTAAAATTTCGATATGTGAATACAAAGGTTCAGACGATGACGCCCTTCTAGACTTTGACACTATTGAACATAATATGTCGTCTGAATACAGTCTTAATATAAAAAAAAACGATTTAATACTTGCGAGTTTTCCCTTGTTAGCTGTTTCCAAGAATAAATCGATTGTCGATTATATTATTTTGTAGCACAGAAAATTCATGTTTGATAGAATCACTACAGTTATTGGATTCCGAAAGAAAAATTATTCGATCTTTCTGATAATATGGCGGTGCTTTTCTCAAACAAGGAAATGATGAAGTATTAAGACAGTTTTATGGGTAGGACTAGCTTCAAAGAAATTGTCATTTACGACTGAAAACATGAACAATGAAAGGAAAGGAATGTAGTTACTTATCAAATGAGAATAATTAGACAGAGAACGAGGCAAAAGTTACGTCTCATCTCCTTTGTTCATCTGTTTAGATAAACCTTGGATCATGAATTTGATGAAAACTGATGGATGTAGCTGGTCATTAGAAAATGACTGGAAATATTTTCACTTGAAAATGAATACTTCAAAGTAGCAACAACTAAGTATGCAACGGTAACAGTGAAGCGGTGATTTACTGTTATCGTCGTATGCCTAAAAGAAACACATTTCTGTCTACAAATGCAACGTGAGAATGAATCACCAAGAGAGAGAGGGAGAAAAGTGCAGTAAGACGTTGACGCTTGCTTTTATGTTTGTGTCGCAATGCCTGTGAAATTTTCCAATTTTGACTCAATTTCTTTTCATCATACTGTCACAATTTTCTTCAATGCTTATTTCATTCGACAATCAAACTACATATAACAGAACAAGGCAACAAATCGCTACAGTTTGTACGCGTTTGCGTCGTCACATTTAACTCTTGTAAAAATTGTTTTTCTCCAACATTAAGACCATCTAAAAAAGAACCATTATTCTATGTTCATATAAGTCCCGAAATAAATGATTTATATAGAGTCTTTAGTAATATAGGATGTGATGAAAGTTTCAGCGTTATTTATGTTCAGACGGCAACTTCAGTTAATAGAATATGCGAAGAATAATCGTGTCGTTTTCATTGTTTGCATTTCTCTGTTTTTAGATTTGTGCGTCGAATCATAGTACAGTTGTCAATATACATTGAATTGATTAAGAAACACAACGAAGATATGCTTACTGATGAATTGATGAAAAGAGGAATTCAATACTTAGGCGAGCTGCAATTCGACGATCTATGTCAATTGGAAAATGAGCTTGATGATTTGTGGAAAAATGGACAATCACGCATATCGAATTCGCTTTATGATAAAGTAGTCGATAGTATCAACTACGAACAGAACCAAATGATCAATGATCCTTATGAGTTTGCAATGAATAAAACGGATTCTCAGATGGAGAAAATAGTTAACTACTTGGCTCAGGTCGATTCTCAAGGAAGCCCTTTTGTTGATAACTCAGTTTGGGGTATTCTTAATCGAGAATTAATCGTACGAAAACGTTTGCCATCACAATTCGTGGTAAACATTCCTTTATATTGGAGTGCACAATCGATGACTGAAACACCAGTTCGATTCGTCATAATTTCACGATCTTCTCGAGATTTTCAAGATCTTTCAAACTATTTCATTAACTCGCTTGGAAAGTCATCCGTCGTGATCTATTCAATTATTCGGATCGAAAATCTTCGTCTCTGGCACATTTATCAAGATCTACAAAAGACAATACCTCATGGTAGCACTCGTCTCATTCATGGTACAGCTTCAACTTATAATCAAAAAAAAATTATGTATCATGGATTCTGTCAAAGCTATTGCGACAATGGTCTAATCGGCGACGGAATTTATTTTGCTACTCATGCTAGCTATTCGAATAATGATCCCTATGTAATGAAGAAAAATGAACATCGACGAGAACTATTCATATGTCAGGTTTTGCTCGGAAATTCGAGTCAAGGTGCACGTGGCATGAAATCCCCAGCATCAGGCTGCCATTCAGTATACAGCATGGATGGAAATACAAACGACCAATTTTGTATTTTTGATCATAATCAAGCATACCCTGAATATTTAGTACAATATGACTATGAATGAAGAAAATTGATAAGTGCATATATAAATTATATCTCTCATCTATTCTATATGGTTGAATACTTTTGTTTTTGATAAATATATAACACCATGTATTAATTATATATATAAAAGTAGAAAATTTTATTTTTATATATTAAATAATTTCTTTTTTATAATTATTATGTTATTGTATCGTAGTCATAGGAATAGGTATCGTCTTGTATCACAGTTGGTAAGAAGGCTTCGTAACTTGACCCAGAGAAATTCTTTATGTCTGGTATGACGAAAGCAGTGTAATACTCGAGAAGGCCTACTGTGTTTGCTGTTATAATGTACGCCATACTTGGGTTCATTACTCCATCCATCCGACGTGATTCGCCTGCGTGTACTCGTTTCAAGCTCATATGGGAGCTCTCTGATCGCGCGCAAGCATGCGCGAGAAAAACCCAAAACAGTCAATAGTAATCAGAAAGAGTCTATTGAGAAAAACAAAAAAGACAAATTTACAACTTCTTTTTTACATAGTCAAGACTACTTATGAATGTTTTGAGTAGAGGATGTGTTGGTGGAAGTGATTTCTGTCCAATAGCAAACGCCAGTTCTAAAAATGAAATTGCTTTGGAGTAGTCACCCATGGCACTATAGGCATTGCCGATGTTGTTGTAGGAAGAAGCTAAATTGGGATGATTTGGCGGCAGAGCTTTTTCGAATATTTTATTTGCTTTTTCATACAACTCAAGTGCTTTTGAGTAGTCACCCGTGTCGTAATACGCTGCACCGGTGTTGTCATAAGCAATAGCCAAATCAGGATGATTCGGAGGCAGAGTTTTTTCTTTAATTTTAAGCGCTTTTTCGTAAAATTCAAGTGCTTTCGAATAGTCACCCATGTTGTTATACACAAGGCCGATGTTGTTGTAAGAATTAGCCATATCGGGATGATCCGAAGGCATAGCTTTTTCTTCAATTTTATGTGCTTTTTCGTAAAATTCAAGTGCTTTCGAGTAGTCTCCCATATTGTTATACGCTAAACCGATGTTGTTGTAGGTAGCCGCCAATAAAGGATGATCTTCACAGATAGTTTTTTGCTTGATTTCGAGATATTTCTCATAAAATGAAATTGCTTCTCGGTATTGTCCTTGATCGTCTTTCACCCATCCAAGTTGGTGATAGATGCGCGCTCTATCATTGTCGCATGAAATATTCTTGAGTAATTCATTGTAGACTTCTTCAGCTTGATTGAAGTGACCCATTTGAATCATTAAGTCTCCCAATCGATGCCATTCTGTGGATCCACAGAGCTCGCCTTGTATGCATTTGGTGAGAGCAGCCAGTTCTAAATCATTGTCGTCGGTGAGAATCAATTGAACTTCCCAGATGTGACTATTGTTGATTCTATGTTTCATATCACCGACACGAAAAACAGTATGCATTGAAAAGAGAATTTCTTTTTCACTTTTAACAGCACTATATTCATCAATAAGTGCGAACGTAGTAGTCGAACTCGAAACTTTCGTTGGATCGATTGTCATAACAAAGAGAATGCCCACAATGTCTTTATTTTTGTACAGTGCACGTTCAAGAAACTCCACAGCTACTTGTTGTTCTGTACTAGTCGACAAGAAATTGTTAAATGAGAGCAGTCCACCTTTCGTGTTCACTAAATGTCGAAAGTCCTGTTCACTGAGCCCCTGACCACGATAAACGATAAATTTTTCCATATTCGCATTTGATTGTTCTTTGTGCAGCTTTTCTAATTGTTGATGGAGACTACGGATAAAAAAGCCCATTTTGATCATGGCTTCCATCTCAAGTGAACGTAAAGCCTTGTTGAGCATACCATAGAGAAAAAATTCACGAGTATACCACCAGATTGGCGTTTTCTGATAGTATTCACGCTGAAAATCCTTTAATTGAGATTCGTAGATGTTTTGTTTTTGGCAATAGGTCACTAGGTCTCTCATTGCCTTATCGTCGTCCTCATCGATTTCCATTATAATTTCTTTGAATAGCACCGAATACATGTAGGACGGTTCCAATTGGTTGAGCTTTTGTTGATCCGATGCTACTGCTTTTAATATCTGTTGTGGGACAAAGCTCATCGGTATAGCGTCATGGTCGCATTCACGGGCGGCCTTTTGTAATGACACGCAGAGGTGCTCGATTGAGGTAGAGACACATCGAACTTTTGACCAATTTTTCGTCCATTCTTTATGTCGATCTTTGTTTGTACAGAAAACAAAGATGCTATCAAGTTGAGCCATATTGTGTACGAGAGGCACCATCTTTTCGCCGAGTGTTCCAGAGACAATTAAAAGGATTTTTTCATCGTTGATACTTTTCAAATATTCGAAGCATTCATCAGCATCAGTAAATAGTTCTACTGTGTTATTAATATTTCGAATTTGTGTGAGAGAGTTTTTAAAATCTTCATTGCGTTCGTCGATCTTGGCATCGAGCCAGACCAGAAGAAAATTTTGCACAATTCGTATGGGTCGTGATCGAAAGGATGACGATGAAGCTGTAGTAGCAATGGTAGTAGCTGTATTGATGAGTTGTGTTGATATCACTGATTCCATCTTGGTATTGTCTCCGGTAATGCTAGTGCCATTGCCTCTGCGTGATGTTCTCTTGTCCATGATGATTATTGTTATGAACTTTGAATACTGTAAGAATGAACAAATCAATGCTATTCAATAGTTAAAAAAGAGACCGAATGATGAGAACAATCACATTCATCTTGAAATATTAGGTGATGTCAAGGTGAATGTCATAACTACAGTTGAGTTCTGTATAATCGTTATATATGTTTATCAGGTGAAAAAAGACTACCGAAGCAATTGAGTATAAAAGAGAAAATAGCAACTATTTATTGATGGCAAACGTTCATGCGGACCTATTTTTAAAATAGCCAAAAGACGGAATACTCCTTTGAAAATGTCATTTTTCAAGCTTGAGCACGAAAGTGCTTTCTGATAGAACTCACTCGCTATAACACAACGCAGCTGATTGGCACAAGAGTAAGCAAGAGGAAAATTGAAGATCTTCTAATAAGAAATGAACATAACAAGCTGCGATTAGGAGGCCAAACAAAGCAGAACCTCATGGCATTTCTTGTTGATAAGTTCACATGAACTCGATACTTTTGTATCTCTTATGAGTCTATTGAAACGATAGAGAGCACTTTTCGATCAAACTGAACCGACTCTTGCAAAATTTTGATTGAAAAGCAACTCAAACCATTGGTTCAGTTCGATCTATAGGAGTCGATAAAGTATCTATCAAATTCTGTAGTACTTCATGCAAAACCTATTTTGTCGTCTTCAATTTCAAAAGAGGTATCAACCTGGTACGTCATGTTATTTGAAATAAAAAGCTTTAGATATGAATGATTAAAACCATGCAGAAAGACGTTAAATTCCATCAAACAGAACTCCTGTGAATAGTATAACACTACTACAATGGACGTTTTGTAAAAATTAAGAATCCACTTGAACTCTTTGTTTTTCGAGCTCTTGAGACTAGCAAGTTCTTCTTCAGGCAACAATACAAAATGCATAGCAGTTATCACAAATGTAGTGAGTATCATACGACTCATGGAACTTCTTATTCGTTTAAAGTTTTTGTTGTTGTTTTTCAACCTCTATCATTGTTTTAAGATGGAAATCGTTACTCTCGAACTCTCGAGATTGACAAGAAATCAACATGAACTTCTTTGTGAAAAACACTATCAAACGTTCAAGAGCAATCATCTATTAACATTTCAGTGCCACAAGCATTTCTTTGCTAATGGCTAACTCATTATTCCTCGAAGTATTTTGCACTATTGATGAGCTCCTATTCTATAATATCAGTTATGAAACTAGAATAAAACAAAATTTGAAGCTAATATTAGCGCCGAAACTTGAAAAATGATTCAACAGCCAGAAATCTACTAGTTTTTAAAAGTTCCAGAAAAGATTTGTTTACTAATTGATAATGCATAAAGTTCTCTACTATTTACATAGAATGAGTTTTGAATCGAACATTTCCATTCTTTTCAATGGTAATTCTATTAATAACCGCATCCATAGATACAAGCAAGTCAGAGATAACGAGTTAACAGATTTCAACTAGTAATTAGTAGATCTTTTAACGCTAAATCAAAAGTTGGAAACTTTCACGATAGCTCATTTAACAGTAGCGAATCAACGCACTTATGTCATCAAAAATGCCTTATTCATAAGACTTTCTGAGCCCTAAGCAGTCTTCTACATGCGTTTGAAGTTGTACTAACGCGTGTGACAAAACAAAAGATGGTGGTTTCAGCATTTTCATTACTAAGCAGAAAGGTGTCTGAAAGAAGTTGTGTAGTAAAATGTATCTAGAATCCTAAACTTGTCAATCAAAAAACAACTTCCCAAGCTGAAAAATCATTTAGTGCTATATCTTTTAACTACTAAAAGAGCATAATAAAAAAAGATTTTGCAGCTCGTAAGAGACTTCATCAATCGATGCTTCTTATACCACTTTTATGTTCATCCTAATGATGTATATTAGTAATTGTGTTTTTCGGATTTTCTGGATTTTAACTGTTTCTATCGTAAACTTTTGAGTACCTTTTTAGTTCGAGTTTTCTTCGGTTTGATGAAAACAGACTATTGTGTCAGACGCAAAGACATAATGCGATCTAATTCTATTTTCTTAAGTTCAACTGACAAAATAGTAGGTTTTAACCATTTTGTATGAGATTATCAGAAAGCAGCTTTTTAAATCTAAATTCAGATTTGATCAAACTTTAAGTTGTACGAATAAGCAAAGGTAATTTGGAAATACTCACTAATATACTAACTTTTCTTTCCTTATTTTTCGTAGTTTAAAAGATTTTCTTAAGTTTATTTCGAAGTGGCTTGAAAACTTAGCTCTCTTTGGCATGTTGAATATTCTACCTAAATTTTAGTCTATTGATTTCTTCAGAAAAACTTATGATATATATCTACCGTAAAGTTGTATGGTAGACCTTTTGAAAAGCAAGCTTCGCTTGAAAAGAAGGAAGCTGAAAAAGTTATAATGACGGTACTGAGACTGCCACTCCTTCTACCACACTCGCTACATGGCAATCATTGAAGATTGTTGCATTGCACGAATGGGTTTGAAAATAATACAAAGTTCAGGAGCAAAAATGAAATACCAAAATATTCTCTCTCGAAATATCATACACATAGTATCCTAAATAATTCGTAATAAGGTTACAATTTATAAACAACGTTAAAGCAGCTCGATTTCAACGATTTAAATCCTTTTTTCACGAAGCTTTTTTTTACTCGTGCTAACTTCCAAGAAGCTCTTTTCTACAAAGGCAAGCATGTCAGTCGGTGAAACATATGTATTTTTTTTTGAAAAATCATGATGATTCTTCAAATCTTTGAATAAAGAACTTTGGTTTGATGTTGAAAATATCCAATTTTGATTGAGTTCGTCAAGATTCAAATAACTTTTTGAAGTGTTTCTACATCAGTAAAAAGCAATCTATTATAGAAGTGTCATTTTTATGTTAATTTAAATTATATGCAATTTAATTCATTGTAAATTTAAATAGTTTGCACTGAATATTCCAGTCAGACGAACAGAAAAATAAACACGTAAAAATGCGTCGAGTTTTATCGAAAATCAAATCATGAAAAGTGTAGACTTTTATGTGTTCTCATTGCGTTGAGATTTCCAAATGAATATAGATCCAGTCAAGACTCGAAGACATCATGAATGCGTATACATGTATGCTTTTTACGATTATATTTCCGTTAAAATTTCGATGCATTTTCACCTGTTTTTTTGTGTTGCCCGTCTGACTAGGATGAAATATCAGAAAGAAATAAAATAATTTAATTTAATTTACACATGAACTAAATTGAAAATAAATATAAATTGACATCTTCCATCTATTAGAAGTTCTTGCATTCGCTGATTTGTTAGCTTCCTACAAGTGCGAATCGTATCTTTCATCGCGATAACTCTCATTGAAAGATTATCGTCTGTATATGCTAAACATCGTCAATCTCAACTTTCTTGACATTACTCTCCAGTGACTAAAATGAATCATTTCCATGTTCTATTGTTTTCTATTCTTTGTAGCTACTTTTGACATACGATTTTAATTTGATTGCTGGTCTAATATTGTAAGAAATCAAATATACTCATGTGATACTGAAGTACACAAGTTTTGTTGTGTATGTATGCAATCGATTTTGCTTCGTGTTTGTCGTTGATGAAATTACTCTTTCTTTTTTTCAACCGATACATCATTGTGTGAATCAATCGAGCATGACACAGTCATCACATAGGCAGTTTTTTTCATGCATGCGTCCATTGGCACATGTCTTTCGTTCTTTCAATAGTCTTTCTCTTTTTTACCTTCTTTTGTATTACGTATGGTGACGATGAAAAAATATACACTGATATTTGTATAGACGAGGGCCTTACACTTACATGTCGAAATTTCTTTTTCATGAGTAAACCAAATAATAGTTTGTTTTTCTCTCATGTATGCGTAATACCAGCAGTTCATTGCTTAATGTCGTATTTCTTCGCAATCATGACTCATTCTGTCCATCATCTAAGAAAATTTTCGCTTACAAAAATTGATCGATTGAATTTTTATTTTGTAACTCAATAATAGATGATCATTACTAAGAATGGTCACCGAAAAGGCACGAAAATCGTGTGCAAGATAATCGTGATTGCTGCATTCAGATGAACGTTCTGTTCATATTATACAATGTGTCTGTTAGAGCACACAGCTTTTAATAAGAAATCTTGCTATCTAACTGAAGATAACCCATATGCCGCCCTCATTCTCATTTAGTGGAAAAAAACAAATATCACTTACATGTTCCTGGTATTGCTGAGTTCTTTTAGTTCGTGCTAATATTGAAGAATAAGTGTTTTGCGTTTCACATGCACTTAGATCTCCCTAAGTTCGATAGAATTATTCGAATTCTGAATTATTTTGTTGAATTCTGATTTTATTACCAAAATTCAATAAAATCCACCAGGATCCGAAGATACAGGAGCCGCTTTTCCCCCCTTGGAGATCCTTATTGCTGCGATCGATTGCCTTAAGAAACATCCGTAGTCTACGAGAGATTTTTCACTTAACGTATTTTGTATTAGTTCAATGAGGTCAAAGAATTTATGTGAGTTTTACATTTCAGCCCCAAAGGCGCTGCGCTAATAAGCTTTCTCATCAAGATCTACCTGACTTAATATTTTCACAAGTTTCTCTCGAACCGTTCTCGAAAAATCTCGAAAAGGAAGAGAGATCTCCATAAAAAGCTTTTTCAGAATAATAAAGCGATTTTTACATACTTAGCAAGTGATTTCTAGGGTTTTAGTAGACCAAAAGTAGCTTTGGCCACAGTCACGTAAGATTTCCAGCTCGAAATTTTGAAAACTAGATATATTAGTTTTATGTAAATATCTTAACAATAGTTACAATTTTGGAGAAATATGTTGATTAAGGGAGCTTTCTACTACCTTTAGTTCATCGTTCCTTCAAAGGAGTATGCTCTCGGATGACCCATGAATAATTAACCTGTCAATATTTAGACTATAGTTTTAGTCCTTCCCAATTCCTTGACCTGATTGTTTTACGAAAATCTTCTAAGACTTATTTCTATAAAATGATAAGAAGATCAATTAAGTGAAATATTCTCGGTGATTAGAAACAGAGAAACTGTCTAAGTTGTTTTTCGTTAAAAATTTTAGAGAATTTCATACTGGAAAGACAATGAAACGAAAATGAGGATGTGTTTCAGCACATTGAAGTGTTTTATTTCTCGTCACATAGTGAAGAGTTCGTCGAAATCAAGCTGAGCATTGAGAAGTCTAACATACTGCAATATTATCTTGAAAATGGCGCAATCTGCTGTTTTTTTGAAATATTTTGTCAACTGAACTTAAAAAGAAAGCTATCATATAAATTTGCATTATAGAAAGTTATACGGGAGTTGTTTCTCACTAATATAAAACAAATCTGAGGCCACAAGATACTATTTTGGTCAGTTAACAAACGTTTTCCAGAACCTCTAAAACTACACTTTGAAACAACTGAAAATTTTCGAATACCTCAAATAGGGTTGCATCGATGCAAATCTCTAAGATTGATTTAATACTTATTTAGTCAATACTGAAGGTACCTAGGGAAATTAGTGTTTCAATTTAGAAAGTTGATGCATTTCTAGGCGTTAAGTTTTATTCGTTCACTTTATCTCCTTATCATTCTATAGAAATAAGTCTTATCAAATTTTAGTAGAGGTTTGAGTGACACAATATTTTGGTGATAAAATCAGGTAAAAGAGTTGAGAATACCAAAAGTGAGAGTCAAAATACTGAGTCGTTCGTTATATATGGATCACCCGATATTATGAGCAAGTCTTCGAAAATGGAAGCTCTTCTAATGCGAGGAGGGGTTTTTATTATAAAACGACAATGAATAAATATGTTTTTCAGGTTCTTCATGTATTATTAACGCATCGAAAACAATCAATCTACGGGTCGCTGGAGGTTTTGTAGTCAATGCTATTTATGGTTTTGCAATGGGTTAAATAAGTGTTAAACAATTTGTATTTGGAGTCTTGGGATGCATCGCAACGTCGTTAATTTTATGGAAAGGTCCTAAGTATCTTATTCGCTTCTTGAAGAAAATAAGACCATCTCCAGTTAATAGTTAATGAGAAAAAAAATTGTTCGTATTTTACACATGTTTTTTATTTAAAGTTTGCTTTTTTACTCTTCTCTATATTTTTTATTTATTATTACGACGTTTCGAAGAACACGTCCTTCTTCGTCAGGTGTTAGAAAACAAAAAAAAATTTCAATTAAGAACACACGTATATATATAAGTACAAAATTGAACTTTCTTTTTTATTTGTCCTTTTTTTAATTTTCAATAGTGGAACGGACGACAACAAGACGGTAACACTGGGCTGGAAAAGAAATATATTATCTATTTTCTTCTTCGTCGTCCGTTCCACTATTACCGTCCCGTTGGTCCAATTTTTTCGAACCTTTTGGATTTCTTAAATTCAATTTTCTTCTTAATTTGTTCTTTATTTTTGAGCAACACAGGTAACCAATATGGATCAATATCATTATGTCTATTAATCGATTCATTTATAATAGAATAAATAGCTTCTTTAGTCCTTCTCTTAAACCAATTTGTTTCAGTATCAATTATAAAAGCTTGTTCAGGATGAAACATACATTGATATCGTCTTGAATGAAAATGCTGAACAATTTCCGAATTTGATTCATCTTTATCTTTTAAAATTTCATTTTCATGTTGTTTCATTCTATTCCATATACCGGTTTTTGTTTCTCCATTATAGACATTATTACATTCACATTCGAATTGGTAAATAACTGATTTATTTTCTTGTTTAATACATGCATTAAAAAATGATTTAATTTTATCTTTATAAGAAAAGAAAACCCGGATCTTAAGTTTTTCTAATCTTCTTTTGAGAATTTCTGCTCCAGGTACATATGGTATGACAATTGAATATTTATTTTCTTTTTCTTTTTTCTTTTCAATTTGAACATTTAATGAGGGTGTGGGTGTGGGTGAGGGTGTGGGTGTGTGGTTATGGGTGTCGGTGTCGGTGCTGGTTAAAGAAGAACACACCCACACCCCACTCTGCTATAAATATTGGAATGCTAATCGAGGAGATAAAAAAGCGTGTCGAATGCGTATGCCGCATAAATTAATATCCAAGTCAACAACTGATCCTGCTACTGGGAATATTTGTATGCGACGATCCGATCCTTGGAACAATAATTTTAATGAATACCTCATCGCAGCTTGCCGCTCAAATATGGACATTACATTTATTTGGAGTGGTAGCGATGCAAAGGCTCTTGTTTATTATATTACTGATTTTGTGACAAAAACAAGCCTCTCGTTTCATGATACATTTTCTTTGGTACAAAAGAGCATTACAGCACAGGGTGAGTATACTAATCTCTGATTTGATGTTATAAAAGTATGATCCTTGATCAAGGTGAACCATAAACGTTCCTGTGTGAAAGCACCAAGGATAAACGAATAATTATATTTAGTTATTAGTTATCTAAAATACGTAAAATATTTCATAAGAGAAGTTCCTCTAAATTGAATCATTCATTGCTTTTTCGATGAGAGATACCCCACTGCATTTTTGTTTGTGTCACGCAGTTGACATACTGTTTATTCTCAAGTAGAATTTAAGAGATAGTTTGAAGAGAAAAGTGTCTCAGCTGAACTATACGAAAAGAAATCTTCTAAGCACCGAACTAAAACATTTAGGTGAAACAAGCAAACGCCAAGATCGACTAAATTACAATAATATAAATCAATTTATAATTGATTCTTTTCATATTTAGATGTGATCGATGATGATATATATGATGATGAAGCTATTGATAATGATAACAACGACGAGGAACAGTTTCAAATTCAATCAGCTGAGCATGACAAAAAATATGTACTCGTTAAGACACGAATTGATTATCAATATCGCTCCGATAATCTCAACAGAATGTGCTTATATGACTTTGTTGGCATATTCTATAAGAAAAAAATAAATTCTACAGATCTGAAATATTTATCCAAGATAGCTGGATCAATAGAAGAAAAAATTAACCAAAAAGGTCGACCACCTAACGAACGGTTTCTTTTTCAAAAACAGCATCCTCAGGCTACAACATATTTAATGATGAAGTACAGTGAACCTTATGTGCCTGTTCTCTATGGTCCTCAGATACCTCGACGAGATCGTGATAATACTCGAGAACGATATTGTCGGGCTATTCTCACATTTTTCGTACCCTGGCGTACTGTGACTGATCTTTGTGACATCAGTCAGACATGGGAAGATGCATTTAAATGTCAACAACATCTTATTTTGAGACATTCGTGAACGATAATAGAAAACGTTCAACTTTTGCACGAACGCAAAAAGGATCGCGATGATCATTTACT